GATGTTATTGTTCGAAATAATTAGTGATCAAGTTTTTGTTAAATACAATTGAGCCGCGATTTAGATATCGAGTAATCAGAGATAGCAGACTCCAAAGATGTGTACAAAAAATTTTTTTTCTACGTTTTCGATTTAATTTTACTCGAGGAATTCTTTTCTTTTCGGTAATACTGCGGTCTCGAAGTTAGACGAAGGATTATGTTAGCCATGTGCTCTGTTTATATTTATCGTAAAAAGAACATGAAATCGCAAAATAATCCTTTTAAAAGATAAGTATTTTTTTGAGTTTTATTAAAAAATGACACTATAGTTAAAAAAAATTTATTTGAGAACTAAGTACATTTTTTCAAGTATCTCAAAATTTGATATTAATATTCTCTCTTGTGAAGGAATTAACTTAAGTGGCTTATTATTAGTTAAGGTGAAGTTTTTTGCAAATATATAGTACACTGCTTCGGATAATAAAAGCAATTTTCATTAATAAAATGATTGAAATGATCAAATTTAAGGATCGACAGAACTGTGGAAATTTCTCACGAAGAGCCTGGAATTAGGATATTTATTTTATATGTGGCTTTCTTACTTCGAATTGCTAGCCCAGTACCGTAAGAACTGTAACGTATGGTTATGTTGCAACATACGTTTATATTTTAGTTATCAGAAAAAAATATACGATTTGTACGTTTGTACGAACATAAAAATATAGAAGAACGTTGCCTCTATCACAATTATACAATTAGTTTAAAAACATTTCAAAATCTTGAAAAGTGGTCCAATTTGATCTGGTCTCTCCTATATAGTTTCTTGTGACGATTTCTCTTTTTCTTTTATTGCCGAAATAAGCAATGTTCAAAGTTGAAACTAAAATTAACAGGAGGAGTGTGCATAAAAAAATTGAAGATAGGTATAACATTTGGAAGATTTGGTATAATGTTTTCGTTTATTCGAAAGATTTGTAATTAACTCTTAATATACAATTAATCACGACGGCGTAAGTCAATAATATACTTCTGAAAGTGAAGATATATGTTACATTGAAAGAAATAGTCGAGGACTTTATGTTGAAGCATCGATGAAGGATGATGAAATTTATAGGAAGACCTAAAAATGTCTGTTCTTATTGATCCAGTCGATGTACGATGATGTGCGAGTGTAAACAGAAGGCATGAGGTCTACGCCGCATGGGTAGACACCCCATGAAACAATACCGATTTGCTTAGCAACTTTGTCTTGGAATTGGACTAATGGGCCGCCAGAGTCACCCTACAAGAAACGCATTTGATCAGCAAAAGAAGTAGTGCAAAGTATCTTAAGTTTGCGGCAGATCTGTATCGACGTTGCTTTCGTATCGAATATTTAATGAACTATTAGCGGAATAAATGTTAAATAATAATTACTGAAATAGATAACACCGGTGTTGAAATGCAATATAAGATTAAAGAATGATATTCTCTTTATAGTCTCTCAATTGCAGAAATTAACATGATTCTATATTAAATTGATTGCGAGTGAAAAGATACACAGAAAACCAATTAATCTTACTGAGCAAGCAGATTCTCCCTTTGTAGAATCAGTGCAGATCTGCGTGTCATAGAGTTCCGGCTGTGTGCCGGTGATATCCTTAGGGAATTTCCTCAGACAAGAGACGTTATCTAATATGGGAATAGTGACTTTCTGGAGAACGGAAGGAAGTATTGGCAAGAAATCCTTCGAGATGGAACCCCATCCACTGAGTACAGCATCACCAGTTTCTATCTCATTTTGGGGAGGTAATTGGACAGCAGACACTTTGTCGTTGAATACGAAAGGTGTTGCGAGTTTTATGATAGCGATGTCATGTTGAGCAATATCTCTGAAAGAATGTGGTATAATTTAGAACGAGTACATGTCATTTTGCAACACATTGAAAAACATATATATATATATTCGATACATCTGTCGAGTTATCAATAGGCGGCATACGGATATGTGTGGCAAGATCATTGTCTCTTATCGATACAAATGATAGATGAATTATCAATATGGTAAGAGTGTCCCATGTTTGATTATGGATTGTAAGATGATTGTTTGTCATATATGATAAACATTTAATTGTTTCTATATATCATATAATATCTTAGAAACATCTCTGTACAAATAAGAAGACTTTCGAGATTTACAATCAAACTTGAGAAATTTAGGCAAATAAAAGCCAAACACCGTTGTTGAAGTGAATAAAGGTTAATTAAAATTATACATTTTACAATTACATTACGTTTTCCATTTGGTTGATTTTGTATTAATTATTGTGTGCGCTAAAGAAGACGAGTGAGAATGATCGCACATTATGCAGTACACAGTAGAAATGTGATGGCGACATTTGTTGTCGTGTGTTTATAGATTAGATCAAATTGAACCGAAAAGTCTTCTACCGTTTTACAAATAGTACGTAGATTTTTTAGTTATTAATGAAAGAAGATTGGTGAAAGATTGCACGCGGTCGCCCGCCAATCTTTTTTAATTATTAACTAAAAAATCGATGTGTTACTTGCAAAATAGTAAAGGACTATTTTCTTCAGTTTAGTCAAACTTAAAAATACATAACGACAAGCGTCGCCATCAACTAATCCACCTACACACTGCATAGCGAATTGTTGGACACTCATACGATGTCTCGTATGTATTGAGACTCTGTGTATCGAGAAAAATAATTTTCTTTCTCGAAATTCTATACGGCAGGTATATATCCGTATAAAGAATTTATTTTTGGTTGAAAATAAATATAGATATTGAAGACATACCCTGTATATAGTTCGTGAACTTTGACTCTATTGACGAGAGACTCTTGGTTGCTATCTTCGTCATCCATAAGGAAGTACTTGCCAGCGACGACCTTAAGCGAGCCAAATTTGGAGATGCAGTGTCCAGCAGTCAAAATGGTCGTCTCATCCAGAATCGAACCGCCACAGTTGTGTTGATAAGGGACAAAAGGTGGAAAGCCCAATTGAATGGATACCTGGTAAGGAAATTCACCGGGTGTGGCATCGGTGCCATCAGTGATCCTAGGCTTTAGAGAAAGAGGGCTGGCCAGACATGCTACAGAAAAGTTTTAATGAAATCTTGTTTTATTAGACATTTATTTGACTTTTATATATTTTTCAACGTCTTGATTTTTAGAAGTTAAAAATGACACTTTCCCAAAACATGATAATTTTATTTTAGAAAGTAATCTTTCAATTCCATATCAATTTTATCTTCAAATAACATTTCGAGAGATAATATTATCGTTACGTTTAAAATAAATATATTGTTATATTTATGAACTGTTTTTAAAACGATGTATAAATATATAATAATTTCAAAGGAACTAGGGAAAAAAATATCCACGATATTCATTTGGATATTCAACCTATTATAAGATATTGATTCGATATCACAAAAAATCTGAATATTGCGTTCAATAGCATTGCTAGTAGACGAGAGAAATGCTTACCCTGGAATACCAGGACGGTCACTAAGAAACTTTGAAGTAACATTGTCGGTGTGTCTCTCTACAAACCGCTCTAAGCGTTACAAAAGTGCTTACAGTTTATATACAAAAAGTATGGGCTAATATATTGTGATAAGATTCTATGTACTTAAAATTTTGATAACACTTTTTAGATTATTTAGATAAGCGTTTGATACTTCCTTTTTATTCATTTGTTTTCTAGAAAGTACTTAATGTATTCTTATATTACGTTTCATACATTGAATAAATACCGATCTTTCTTGAAATGTATAGTAAGCGACAGAGAATTATTTTCTTGGAATATTAACTGGCCTTAAGGACTCGGCATGGTGATACTATCATGTTTCACTTACTATTTTACTATTTTACATGTAGGACATAATAAATTACATTTAATAAATTACAGATATAATTCTATATATACTAATAGCACCGAATAATATATAAACTAACAAATATATTATGACCTGTATTTATTAAACATGTCATGACCTATATTTATTTATCGTATCTTTTGTTATCTTTAGTTGAGCTTTGATATAATCAATGAAAATCAACGGGACATTTAACGTGTTAATTTTGTTCTTAATATGCATTTTGTTCATAATACGTACACATCTGTTAAAATAACAACAATTTAAGAGTAATATAGTCTAATATATTGAAGTAAATAAAACATAGTTACTAGTATCGATTAATTATTATTTGTACATAAAAATACCGATATGAAAAATAATAAATAATATAAATATATTCAATGCATATATTATACATGCTTTACGTAAACTAAAAGTAAAAATGTACAGAACTAGACATTTTCGTTAAACATATATACTCCATAATTTCGATTCATTTAAACCGGAACAATTTCTACAAATATAATACTCAGAGATTTATAATTTAATACAGTCATAAACAAAGCATCTCCCTTAAAGAGCAATTTAAGCATATAATTTTGTTAAGCTAGAAACACACGATGCACAGTTTTATGTTTTTTAAGGTGCATGCTGACTGGCAGCTCAGTTTACTACAGAGATCTTCCGATAACAATAACAATGCATGGAACTGAGTCGGTCAGTGCACTTGAAAAGACATGAAATCGTGCATTTCTAGCTAAAGGAATATACAATTTGTTGTGACATTATATTCATTTGTTCATAACCGAAAAACTATGAACAAATAAATATCAGAACAGATAACATTCTCTCCGTATCTAATTAATAAGTTAATAGGTTTATCTCTTTAGGTTTATCATGATAACGGTCTTTTATTCAGATACCAATGCATTTGCTGGTTTTTCCGAATGCCCCGATATCTTTTTCTATTAATAGTATCACGCTCACAGGTGTCCACGAAGATTGCGGTGCTTTATAAGAAGGATTTCGATGAGTGCTTATCATGCTGAATAAATATTCAATCATGTTAAATACGTGCATCAGTAGTTCAGATCAATCTCATGTATTGCATGTGATTAAACGGGCAATCGCGCGGATTCCCGCCCAAATCTCGCGCGCGGTTGGAACTATCTGCGACGCTGGCAATAAGAATCCATAAGTTCCACGATCGCGCAATTCTATCGTGTACGCGTATTTTATTCCAGCAACGCCTTTAGCCCAGTCGTCAGACGCTCCTGAAAGCAAAAAGGAGTACTTTTGCGACATATTTTTCCCATCTTGAAATTTTATGAAATGTTTTAATCACATCTGCTTTGTATGATTTCTTTATCTAATGAGCTACATATTAAAATCAACTTTCTAGTTACAAGAAGTGTATATATGCACATACGCCCTAAGAAATTAGCTGCTTATGCACGAGTATTTATATGCTCTGACATATCCATCGATATAAATGAGAACCATATATATATGCCTAGTATATCTAGTTTTATATGAAACGCGTGAACTACTCGAGCAGCCTGGCTTCGGTGACGTAATAGCAAGTATCGTGCTGTACACAGTGCGCGATTAAAAGTTGAAGTGTGCCGCAGCTCAAAGGTTAACACAGATAGCAACTGAGGTGAGTACCGGAAGTTGGATACATCAGATCGGTCACTGGTCCAAGCTGATAGTGAGTGCCGTGAACTTTTGTGATCGCGTTAATCGCCTTTTTCGCTACGTTCACCAACTCGGAGTAATCTGAAGGCTTGGAACGCGTATAACCCCATGGTACTAACCACATTTGTGAGTAAGAATGTAAAGACAGGTACATTCTGAAAATAAAAATTTCGTATCAACGAAATCTTGATAAAATAAAAAGTAACAGTAATGAATATAATATATAAATAAACATAAATAACAAATAAATTTCGTACAAACGAAATCTTGATAAACAAAAAAACTTCTCAGACTTTGAGAAGTAAATTTTTATAGAAGACAATCGTCAAATATAGAATGCACTTGAATTGTAAAAATTAATCGATTAAATACTGGTCGCGTGCGATTAGAGTACCGGATATGCTGCTTATTTGCCAAAATGTAATCTGCTATAGCTTTTGTCTCCGGCTCGGAAAAGGGGAAGGGTCCAGAGTAAGTCTCGTGACACGGATCCAAGCTGGTTCCTCCTTCCTTCTCCTCGCCCCAGTGATATGCAAAATTGCGATTGGGATCAACTCCTTCGCATTTAGTCCAGAACCATCTGGTATAGTGCGTTACAAACTGCATCAAATTGGAAGGCGTGTACCTAGAAAAGAGAGTAGTTCAGTAGTCTATTTTTATTATAGCTTACAGAGAAGCGGGCGTAATTATTTCCAACTCTGAACGCAAACTGCGGTTCTGAAATAACAGACGTTTATTCTCTACGTCTCGTACTTCTCACCTGCTATCTTCCTGACTTTCCACGTGGTTGCTCCGGGTCTTCCGCCAGAAACGATCGCTGGTGTGACTGTACTCGTAACCATCGGGATTAGCAACCGGCAGAATCATCCAGTCCGAATTATCCAGCAGTTTCGTGTAACTTGTGTTCTTCTCGACCAGCTGACTCAGTATGTAGGTCGCCACAGCGGTACCGATCCATTCTCGTCCGTGCATGCCTACGAATATGATGACAATTCACCGAAAGAACGATCTAACGGGACGAGATCGCATAAAACGTGGGAAGTATGCGGATTCGATGTCGTCGAAAACCAGATTGGCCGGCCTTCAATTCCGTAACAGCGTCGCTGTAATAAAAGTTTTACGACGCTACCAACAGAAATCGCCAAGGGAAACAATAAACTTTCGGTGATGTTTTACGATCTTTCCCAAAATCTTTGATTATTATTTTCCACTCAGATTATTTTCTTATTTATGTTATTAGAATATTTTCTGAACACATTTGCATTCTATATCCATAGCAGAAAGAAGAGATAGATGAAAATTGTCAGAAAGTGATGATCGTATATTTCTTCATGTGGGTATAAAATATTTATAAGATTATTAAGGTATACTAGTTGATAGGTACGCTGTGTCTAAGTAGTGCATCAGAGGGCTACTCATTATAGATTTTATCAAACAAAATTATGCTTCTATAGAAATTTATTTTACTATTTAAATATCACTGTTAATTTGAAGCGCAATTGAGAGAAATATATATACACAATATTACAAATTCGAAAAAAATATTTTTTTATTTTTATAATAAATTGACGCTTTATTTATGCATTAGTTTATCTAACAGAGATATACAGATAATAAAAAAAGGTATGTAAGTATGTAAATATATTTATATGTATTTTGAGTATTACTATAAATTATGAACTTTCCACCGTTGTATTTTAAAAATAATAAATAATTCTGAAATTTGTCTATGTTTACTTATTAGCCTTTAATATCATAATAGTTTTTCATCAAAATCTCACATGTAGTTTAGAGGATATTAAAAATAGAAATTAAAAATATAGCACGCTGGGAAAAAGTAAAAAGTATAAAGTTTAGTTACAAATATCTTAACTCTCGAATGGTCAATCTAATCGCACAAGCAGTTAGATAATATTTCAATGTATGTAGTATAAGTTTCAAAAAATTCTCACAAAACTCGTTTCATGATACAACTACCTTAAGCGTTTTAAATAGTACATTAAATATATAATATATAAGTATATTTAAAAATTTAAATATACTTCATTTAATATATATTTAAAAAAGTAAGGATAACTTATTAATATATGAGTTCATACACGAATGAGAGATATATCGATATAATTTTGCCCATGGAAAATAGACTGTCCTAGAAGAAGGAGGATGACTTACCGGCATCGATCCAAATCGCAGGTTTCTTTTCGCCGTCCTTGTTCAATCCTGTCGAGACTTTTGCCAATTTCATCGGTTGGCCTTCATAACTATGGCCTATGGTTGTTAGATCAATCATTTTGGGATATTTGAGGGCCAGGTATTCCAAGTAACGCACGATATCTACGAGAACAAATTGTGTAGAGAACAAATAAGAATGTATTATTTTAAATATGTACTCTAAATAAATTATTTATTGACTTATTTGATATCCATACGTTCATCGAGCTAAAAATGATCGATACTATCTGATAAGATTACGCTCAAATTAATTTACTACAATATAATAATATATCTCACATTGTTTTACCTCCATATCGATGATAACGTTTCCACGTCATCGTGTGGCCTTGAGTGGTTACCAAATCTTCACGCTGCTCTTTTGACATTTTCGGGTTTTGATAAGAGATAGCTTTCTGCCAATCACAGTTAAAAAGTCATTTTCAAGATCTATGACAATCGTCTGATCAGAAACATCACAGCCGATTGATAGTGTCAACAACAATCTCTCTTTTCTAATTTTAGGTTAGTGATCATCAGTTGATAGGTCAACAGGTATGAATGACAACGATTGATATATGCAATGTTGGAAATCATAGAGCTGTCTTTTCCGACACAAAACGTAATTATTTATTCATCGTCTCCATGTCATTTTTGTATCTTTGCTTCATAAGCATTAGAAAGATCAATAGTAAAGTGTGTTAATGTAATGCAGGAATATCTGCTGCTTGTTGTTAGAGATACTTTCCGACTGTATCGCCGTATAATAAAGTCCTTCAGCTGTGTATACATCGAATCACAATCGATTTCAAGATCGTAACAAAGTAAATAGGTCATGCTAAAAACCATCTATAAACCTGATATTATCCAAAAATACAGGATTTTCATTCAGAACATGAAAGACAATGCTATTTTAAACACTGACCTAGATTTTAAACATTTACCTAAGAGAAATATTCGAATTCTTGAATATATAATCAAAAATATAATAAGACATATCTTTACCTGAATATCCGATATCACCACTTTAAAATCGATCTCTTTATCCTTCAGGTAGTCTTTAACATCGGCCACGAGATCTGGAGCGACAATGACGTCGGAAGTCCTGATGGTCAAATTTTATTAGTGTAAATGGAAAATATGTAAAAGTACTTTTATCCGCTAGAATATTCGAGATAATTATTCGTCGAATAAGACGTACTTGTTGGGAACTGGAAAGGACCAAAATTTGATGTTCTCGGGCTCGGCGTCTCTCAAATCGTGCAAGTTTACAATGTGATTCTCTGTGTTGGGGAATATCCGGATTAATTGATAATTCCTATAATTTATTCTACTAACTCGCGATCTCGAGTTCTTCTTCTCGGTGCCAACGATGCTGTTCATCACCGTGCTGATCCCGCTCGCCACGACGGATATCATGGATTCAACTAGGCCAATTAGAGAAAAGCCCCTGTCATAGTCATCATCCCAGTATGACTCTCTAGACGTCTCTTGAAGATGATTGTTCTCTCCGACAAGATAGATTCTTTCTTCTTTTGTGCCTTTAGAACTCAACGGTAGTTGCGTTCCTTCATTACTGTAAGAAAAAGATCGATGAATGAATATAGAATAAAATATAATAGGGATTAAAAAATTAAAGTCTCAAATAATAATTTGTATACTGTATTTTATAACAGTGAAAATTAAATAAAGAATCAAAATGGTTGTCTTCTCCAAGATAAATCATAAAGTAATTCATCACAATATCATCCTCTCTTCTTCCATTACTTTTTCAGTATGTGTTCTATTTTAAAAATAATTAAAAGACATGAGAGATTTTTTCCTAAACTACGAGAAATAAAGGTGGCGACAACAAGAAGATTTGATACCATCGGGCATTCTAGTGTTAAGCGAACAATTTGCGCTTCACGAGTCACGTGCGTTTAGATGTCACAAACGTCATCCTCGTGTTCGCGTCAATTCAGCTATCAGCCATCAATTTCAGCAAAAGAACATTCTTTCGTTATTATCGTACTCACGGTCCACTTTCTCATAGGCGAACGAACGAACGAAGATAAACTGGGACGAACAGAATGCGTCGGGCGGACGCACACAAACATGTCTTAATTAACACAATTAAACGTCACTAAACACGCGAGAGAGCGAGAGGTGAGCAGCAGACGCCGATCACGATAACCGTTTGAGATCAAACATGATAGAAGAATGACAGTTAACAAAAAAAGAAAAATGATATTCTCTTGGATAATAATTATAATTTTTTTCACGATTGGATGTTCGAGAAAGAAGATCATATATTATAATCGGCAACACTGACCTATTCCTTCTTTCGTTCAAAACTTCATCATCTTGGAGTGTCTCTTCTACCGAATAATCATGATGGTGTTGCGAATGTGTCACCGTGTAACAGTCGCGATACGGACTGCCATTTACTGGGTGCGGCATGAAGCTTCCTGAAACCCCGAGGATCGTACACAGGATTAACCGGACGCCGGCACTCATGGTGCCTCTCTTCGAGCCGGACGTCAGGATACTCGGCCTTCTCGGTGGTTTCCCGTTGACTGACGAACCTGCAGCCGGAACCAGTTGCAAGACTGGTTCATATGCGCGAAAGACGTTGGTTTCACTATTCTGCCCCACGGGCTCGACTTACGGGATTTCTGCTCCGTACTGGATAACTCTCATTCTTCAGTCAGACAGTCCGAGCGAATCACGTGCTCTGCGAAGTTAAAGGAAAGGATACTCAAAGGATATTCTGTTATATAGAGATTGGATGCGCATCGAATGATGATTTGAATCAACCCGACTTAGCGCGGTATTAATCATTTAAAGGTGAAGGAATCGTGCCGGTAAAACTTGAAGCAACTGACAGTGAGTATTCGACACTTTTTTTTTATTTTAGTGTTGCGGTAGTAATTACTGACTTTCGAAGGATTTGCAAATTTTTAGGCTTTTAATATCTTTGCCAAAACAACATTTGCATATATATGTAATAATATATATGTATGTTGTTAATTGAAATTAATAAATTCTTTGCAATTAATAACATTCGTCATGTTGTGATTCAACAAAAAGAGTATTTATTTTTAATTATTCTTTTTAATTATTTCGCCATTTTAAAATGTTATATCATTCAGTTGATTTTGAGGACGTTGTGCTAAACATAAAATTTAAGAAGAAATTATATATTTATTGTCAACTAAAATAATAGTATTGCGTCGAAAAATTGCAGACTATGCAAACATATTCCGGCAAATATGTTTGGCATGATGTGACGCGTAGTAGGTCAGTGAATTTGCCGTTAGTAAAACACGTTTTCATGATACCAGCGTTTAAACTCTACCATAATTATATATATTAAATTTTTTCCATACATATTGTGCCGCTCCCTCGTATGTTTTATTGTTGTAATTAAAATAGTCTTCTGGTAAATCTCTACAAGCACAGGAAAAAAGATAAAGTAAAGCGCTTAAAATTCTAAATATCATATACTTTATAAATGGTCATTTTGTAGTTGTTTGTGTTAACTAAAGATCAAGTGAGAAATAATACACAAGAATTCTTTCACTTCTATATATATATGTATAAAAATTGAGTAGATTAAGATAAGTAAGATTGAGATTGAAAACTTCTGGATATTTTTAATATAATAATAAAAACTGTTTGGTGTGTATGTTGTGTGTGCGATACATTCTCGAATTAGTGCTACTTGTAAATATGACAATATTTAACAATTTTTGTTGTTTTCTAAGCATATTTTGTATAAATTGATTGCTTCCTTGCATGGTTTTTTTTTGTGGGTGAAAATAGTTTTTCTTGTAACATAAACATAAATACTGAGTCATATCAGAGGCAGTCGTGAAGCTTATCAGAGTTTCAATGTTGTTGATACATTGTTACATTGATACATTGTTTGATATTGATACTCTTGAAAGTTTCCAGACAAATTCTCAGAGTACAAATTCTTTCTCTCTCTCTTTCTCTTTTTCTCTCTCTCTTCTAAAAGACGTCTTGAAGACATTTAAAATATAGGACGTCTGTAAAACATCTTTTAAAAGTTTGTATTGTCTGTGGGTCTCTTTAACTGAATTTTTTCTTAATTATTCAATTCTAAAAATATTCTATGTTAATAGAACATTTTTTATTTTATTTTTTATACTTTATCTTTTCTATTGCTTCTCTTAAGAAGATTATTTTTTTTTCAGAAACTCCGTGAAATTTGATTATAGAAATAGTTCGACATAGCCGGATAAATAATACGACTGCGATTCACTGTGAATATGATTTATTGTTGTTACAACTATACGCGCGTACCCATGCGGCACGCAACGATACATATTGCGTGAACGTACGGGGAGTAAAATAGCATAAACAAATAATAATATTAATAATAATTATTATAATGACTGAATGTTAAATTAATATTACGCTGTTAGTCGGATCTGGGCGCGTACGAAAGGAAATCCACGGAGAAGAAAGAGCAGACGGAGGACGAAGAGAAGGAAGAACGCAAAGGAAGACAGTCGGATCTTTCAAGCGGGTCCTTAATCCTTTCAGCGATGTCCGATTCGCACCTACGGCTATTAAAGTCACCTTTCAAACCCGCCGTTTTCAAGGTAACACGCCACGTTCATTTCATACACTTAATGCGAGCTATAAAACGTATCTCGCGTTCGCCATCATGAAAAGGCCAAGTGCGTCCAGAACGAGCTTTCAGGATCAATGTTGATCTATTTCTTGACCATCGAATATACAGCACGAATTTTGACTAGCACATTGCGTAATAACGAATCCTCCCTTTTACAGTCAGTTGGAGGAGCTCGCAGAGCGAAGGAAACGCCAAAGTCCCGACCGACCTTCATCCGGGAGACAAAAGTAGAAAAGAAGGTGAAAGTAGACGAAGAAGTCGACGGTAGGTATTGAGAGAAAGACCGGCTGCTACCGAGCACCATTGGTCTTCTCACACTGCCATATTGTCGTAATTACAATGTAATTGATTCGGTCGTAATAATTGACTGCTCATTGTCGTGTTCATCGAGACGGCCCGAGGTCTCGACGGCACACGAGCCCGAAATGGCAAGAATCTACGGGTTCACCGAAAGAATACGCGCGATGCTGCTCGTTACGTGCATACTCCTCCTCGAGTAGCATTTCCCTCAACCCCCATACCTGCGTAACCTCTCCGAGCTGATGCTATAACGTAGCATTGCTTATTCCGTGAGTCGCGGACTGCGCAAGCAGTCCACGACGGTCTTCCTCAAAGTATCTCCTCAAGGCCTCCCTTTAAGGCGACTTATCCCGCGACACGGCATATATACAGTTATTTATAACGTCGTCCTTTCGTACATCGAGGGGGCATGACACGGGAATATCTAATGTGTCTGTATGCGTGTGTCTACGTATGCGTGTGTTTGTGTGTGTGCGTGCATGTATGTGTGTGTTGAGATGTACGTGTGTATACATAATACGCTCTGCAAACAATGTAATATTCTCTGTCAAACATTACTCGAGAGTCTCAAGTATAACATGATAATATATGGATCTAAGATGCTCGCGCGTTATCTAACGATCTACTTGTCAATTGAACTTCGTTCAGAGTTAATCCTTTAAGGTCCTGTGTACACAATTATGTACATTCACATTAAGTTCTCTCTCAAAATTTTTTATATCGGCAAAATAATAATTCTGTCAATCTATCCTAGATAGAGCTGTATTCTTCGTCCCAACTCATGAAACAGTGATTTTTTCGCTGAAGAAATCAATATAACAATCATGAACAGAAAGCAGAACCGTCGATACTTGAAATTTTGTAAAATTTTAACGAAGAGTTTTTAAAAAAATTTAAGTAAAGAGTTTAATAAAACGTTTTATTTTTTCTATTTTTTATTAGTATCATTTTAAAATAAGGTTGATGTTTTTATGTTCATTATCATGGTTACAGACTTTATTAAATTTTGTAACTGGGTCACACGTATAAACATAAAAGTATATATATATATATATATATATATATATATATATATATATATATATATATATATATATATATGTGCGTTTAAAAGATAATATTTTACAACGGTCAATTTCATTTAGATCATAAAATTCTTTACTAGGGGCCTCTTTTAAAGCTACCTTATAAAGAAAAAAATTTTACTTGAACGAGCTCGAACCTGAGCCTTAAAGGATTAAAGATCAACATTCGGGATATTTCCATTTTTTATGAATTTCGTAATTTTGTGATTTCTAAATCCGTTTGGCGTTACTAATTCTTTAAAGTAAAGACCTTTTCAAGCGCGGAAACAAGATTCTGTGGAAACCTGAAAGTCAAGTTACGTATATCGCTTGTTAACGCGCGAGCATCGGCTTAATTATCTTCCGCGTGATAGTTACGTGTATGCGGTATGTGTACCAGTGTATAAGTATGTTTGTGTTTATACGTGCGCGGTGCGTAGATGGTTTCCGAAACTAAAGTCGCACTCAGTGTCGCGCGAGATACGCTCGTTTCGAATATGTTCGATGCCCTTCGTAGTTCGTGCGAAGGGCACGGTTGATTCTCTTCAACTATGACTACGAGCTATCGGTAAGTTCGCGTGCGGCTGATCGAGCGACCGATCGTATCCTAAGCGGGGGAAGATGGCTAAATTACAAAACACACAGTGAATTTTTCGCGAAAAATTCTTTGAAAGGAGCGAAGACATCAGTGTCGTTCGAATATATTTTACAAAGGTAACCCGAAGAAATATGACTTTCTTTTGAGGTGCAGATAATAGACAATAGTTAAACGGTACGTTAAAGAGCACACTAATTTGTAAGATTTGTTATGTTAAACAACGAGTTACATACGTGAAAAACGCAGCGAACGCGATTGGACCGTTGAAAAGAGTTCTCATGAAAATGAAATCAGGTATCGAATCGGCGATGCAATCATTCGACCATCTTACCTCTCTTAGAGTCCCATTTATTACTTTACTATTCGCTACGTTAAATCGCAACAGTAACGATAATCATAACAACAACTTTCTCATCTTGACTGCATATTGACGCGAGGATGGAATCGATTCACGCATCGCCCCTCATTCTCCTCCTCCTCTCATTCCTCTTCCGAGGAGAGCGATCCTCGATCTTTTCCCGGCGTTACCGATAATTATGTCATCCCTACTGTTTACAACATGAATGTTCTACTGATTCAACGCTACGAAATGCACGAAGATTTATTACGTGTAGTCAGTTAACGATAACGATTAATTCATGCAGTCACTGCCGTCAGATCCGCGCGTGTTCTCCGCGTGTCGGCGGAACAACCGATCCTGCTAGTCGATTTCATCGATCATTCTTTTCGTTATCTCCGACCTCTCGATCGCTCTCCAATCGCTGGTAGATTGCATTCTTCTCCCTCCTGTTTTCTTTTTGGATATGTGTCGATGTTAACCTTGAAGGCGGAATCGTTATCGGTAATGTATTTGTGCCCGTTAGTTTTGGCATTTGCGTGATGGATCTTAGTGTATCTTAGACGATGTTGGCCTTGACAATGGAACTCCCCATCATGACCTTGTTAACGAAATTCACAATGGCTGTGGCGGGTTGTTCCGGTTCCAGCTCGGCGAACACGTGGCACTGATTGTCCGATTTGTGAGCGGGTTTTCTCGCTACGAAACCAAAGCAGCGACTGCAAACAAACGTGACAAGCAACTAATTTAAATTCAGAGCAGATATTGCTATGGCTGAAGTATGGTTGGATGTCTCAATAAAAAATTTTGTCACTTAAATTTAATTTAAATTTTGTTAATTGAACATTTCGATATTACATGTCTTTGACATCTAAATTCTCGGAAAATTGCAAGAGAAAAATTCTCAATCGCTATATTTGTGTGAATATCGAGAAATTTTTTTATTTTATTTTATTGCATTGTATTACAGAAACATATTTCTTTTTAATCGAAATAATTATGGCATCTGTAAACATACTGGGCGCTAAGTGGTCTTCCGGTGTCTTCGCCAGAGAATTCCCACGTACGTTCCTCAGTATCCAAGCCACAGTAACTTATGTTATTTGTAGGGTAATGTCTGCGGAAGAATAGCTTTCTGGCATTATCGGTCAAAGTAATGCCTTGTGTGGAGACTTTGAAATGAACAATTGTAGCGATCGGCAGGGGTTTCTGCTCGAATAGGCTCGTGATGGCTTTCTTGATGGCCTGCGGCCCGGTTAAGGACTCCGTGTCAATTGTGAAAAGGTACAAAACGTTACAAGCTGTAAAAAATACATTTGAAATATTAGAGAAACGAATGTTTACTTTTCTATGTCCTTACAAATCAAAGGAAATATCTAGATAAGCTGACTAAAGGCGCACTTAAGTGCGGTAGGAATTAGGTTGCCTCTATTTTACTTAGTTAATCGCTCTAATTGAAAACAGCAGGCAAAATGAATTAACTGGGAGAGGGCTTAGATTGTAATTCGATTCTGAGGAAGTTTATGTAATCTCCTTCTAATTTGAATTTATGCAACAATATATCTCTTGTAGCAAACCAGTTACCTGCTCCCTGAGCGAGAAGCTGCTGGGTGCTATTAGTACCAGGTGAATCTAAGGCTCTAGCGGCTGCTTCTGGCTCGGGTAGCAGCAGTTGGCAAGGCAGAGCCATGGCCATCAGGCTGTGTTGGTAAACCAACGCCGATAGAGAGCTGAATACCGGCTCGTTCGCGCATCCTTTTAGCCTGACGCCGCGAGATGTTGGCTCGATCAGGAAATGCCTGACAAGTTCGCTCGACGGGTCCCGCGGACTGCTGGGTGCACCTGGAGGTGGCGTCGCTACTTTCAGGGCCAGCCCGAAGGCGCCCGGAAACGAATTGCTGTCCCGCACTACGAATGTGCCGGGTGTCGCGTCTTTCAGCATTGAGATTGCTGCAATGAAATTTTATCGTATTTTTATTTCGCGCATGTAAGTTGTATAAAGTAACGTTTTTATTTAAATATTAAGAAGTTATATATATATATGAGGAGGAAACGCTTATCTCCTCCTCGGCCAAAAATGTGAAGCTCACAGTGACTGGCGAAATCGCTACGTCACAATATATATTATATATATATATATATATATATATATATATATATATATATATATATATATATACACAGCAGATTACAAATTTGCAAACATTGTATTTAATCGTAATTTTAAATGTATCTAAAATATTTTCTTCTTTTATGTAATAAGATTATCTAAAATCCATATAAGATATTATCACATAATAAATAAAAAATGCAAAAGAAAAATTTGGGGTAAAACAAGAAATAGATAATTACCTTGCTCCCGCGATATGTTGGGTTTGTACCAGATTCTACTGGTATCACGTACGAATTTCACATTAGCGTCAGCTACCTCTTGGGGCTCCGTGTTCGAATGGACGCTGGAGCGTCTGGAGCCATAATATTGCACCTGTGGCGAAGATTGGCCGCCACTGTTGATGGAAGTGTAGGACGCAGCACTCTGAAAATTCAGAAGAAAGTGACGCTCGAATATATCTCTCTGTGTATAAAATATCATATCTGACCGTGTTTCTCTCTTTTTAATATAATCATCACATATATTTTTGGAATATTCTCAAATATGAAAATATAACGGCGGAAAATTAATATGTATCCAGTTGAGTTTGAAATTTTAATTCTCAGTTATAAGTTACGTTGGATATATTATAATTTGTTGATCTCATTGCTATTATTTATTGTAGTTTGCAGAAGAGGAGTGAATTACGTTGAAAGGTTAATGCAACGGTAAGAGGCAGCGAGTGGGTAATATAATATCGCAGTACTCACTTTGGGGCTTTGGGCGAATTCAGTGTGGGTCGGTGTTCCAGGACTGCGCGAAACAGCCTGCGGCTGCGACATCGTCGATTCGCTTACCGGAGAAACAGGTCGGTCCTTGCTGCAAAACGACCAACCGTGCGCAATGTTAGAAAATATTCCGCGGGAATGCACTGTCGTTTCCGTGCAGGCAGACGTGTGTTGGCTGACTCGTGCATAGTGCTGTACATCGTGAGGAAAACACCGGAAAACAAGGGTGGTACACACAATCGCGGAGGAGAATCTGGTAGGTGAAAGGAGCGTCTCTAATGTTAAATAGGTCAGTCGTCTCCAGCGAAAGAAGCGGGAAGATGGAGCACATAGAAAAGAGTCTCTCTTTTCTTCGTAAGATTTTCCGATGATGACGATGGAAATGTTATCACGGGTTTCTCAGCGCGATTACGGTCTACTTCATTGACACACGCGTACTCTGCGCTGTTTAAGTGGTTTCTAAGACACACGATGCAAGGAAGCGCGAGTTAGTTCGAGAGTGCAACACACACATGGCCAACGTGCGTTCGCGTGGCCGCGATTTATTTAGTATCATATTTAGTATCATATGATACAAAATGTGTGCTGATTTCTCTCGTGACGACTCTATAAGCTGGAGGTAACGATTAAATCAGCCGCTCGCAATGAGTTGTGAGTTTCTTTTCTCATGAATTACGATGAACGTTTACAATTTGTAGCAACAACAAGAAACATCAATAGTGCAAGTAAAGAGAAAAACGATGAGATCACATAAATATGATGTTATCTGATTTGTGAGAAACAACAAGAGAAATACTATCTAGAAAGGCAGCGTTGAGTACTAATCGAAAAAACGTCAATTGTATAAAATAATCGACAAATTAATAATCAAAATTAATTTTTCGTTATATACATATATAATCACGAATCAAAATTAATTGTTAGTCTAAGCTCTAATTTGACTGATTATCTCTCACTGATTTATAATTAATTTTATCAATCAAGGATGTATCATATTTAAAAAATAATGAAAAGATTTAAAAAAAATTAGAGATTATTCTAAATTGCAATCTATATTGAACTGTAACTATATCAACTGTATTGTATATATAAACTATACGTTTCTTTGCGCGGAAACTAATGTATTTCCAATTGATTTTTTGCAAAGATTCTATACGGGTAATACACATCCATAAATTATTCGTGATTATATGTGTGACGATTGATTAATTTTGACGATTGACTTGCCGATTATTTTAGTCAAATAAAATCGATTAATGTCCAACACTGTAGAAAGATCTTTTTCGTACGGTGTCTCAGCGTGAAGAACGATCGATCATCCGTGTGATATGATACACAGCTGCATTCCGAGCGTGTCAACACGCGCGGTTAGTAACATGACACAAAACATTCATGGTGCAGATTTGGTCGCGACGTTGCTCGCCGCTGTGATTAAGTCGCAGGTCGTTAATTGCATATTCAATTACAGAAATCAGTCGCTCACGCGATTTTTCGTGTTGTATATATTACCTATAGTCGAACGACGCCGATTGGTTAGTGAGCGGCCATCGTTTGTTATGCGTTTGTTTAAGCGGCCCGCTTGCCGGGAAACTCAAGCGTCTAGAATCACGAATATCATTCTGCGTCATCATCACCGTCGCTCTGCGATCTTCCATCATGTTCGAGAGTAGATCTTTTTTTACGTCACAATACGCGTCGTTCTTGTATGTGACATTTTCGTAAAGGTTTGTGGAATACTAAGCGCCAGATGCGTGCGGTATTCCAGAGTTATAGTGCTCCCGTCACATATAAAAAAAAAACGAGATTCCTAATATCTCAAAATGTCAGAAAATAATGCAGGGAATAATGCGAGAAAATCCTTTCTTATCTTATCCTAAATCTTTCGTGTTCGCAGAAAAATATAAAATTATCCACATAGTAATATCTGAAATAAATCCTTATTGATTTCCAACTTAACATAAAATTCTAAATTTCTCAACTTAACGTAAAATCCTTAAGAGGATACTGGATATCGATATAATATAGCTTTTTTGCACTGTTTTAGGTCGTATAGAATCACAAATGCTCATACAGAGTGAAAGTACAAATGTTAATAAATGGCGGAGTATCTTATATTACATAAAAAATTGAAAAAAATTTTTTATTAACAAAAAAATTTTTTGTTTCTGATATAATAGTCTGATAAAATAGTCCGCTGCACATTGACATTTGTACTTTCGCTCTGTGCGAGCATTTGCGATTCTACACAACCAAATAGAAGAACAGCGCAGAAAACGAAAGTTGAATTACGTCGTTAATTTCCTTAAGTGAATTACCGACGAATTCTTGCGTCATACGTTCAAAGTGGAGGTTCAAGGAAGCGTGAGAATCAACAGCAAAACAGAACCTACCGCTGTGTTGTCGGACTCTTGGGTGGAAGCCCCGTTTCCTTCGAGGCTTCTCTTCGTTCTTCGATATATATCGTTCGTTCGGCGCCGTAGCTCCCGACGTTGTTGTTGTTGTTACCGCCAGCCTCGTTGTTGACATTATTGTTGTTGTTGTTGTTGACGTTGTAACTGTTGTTGGACGTCATGTAGGTGCGATCGCTGGCGAACGTCACGGTCGGCGAGGCGTTATTGACGTACGGCGTCCGCGGATGGACCGGAAACGCCGGCGTCTGCGGTCGCGAGGCACCGCTGACGACCGCGCTTCCGGGACTGACGCTTCTCTCGGTCCACGATGACGCCGAGTCATTGTGCGGCTGCGGAATTCGCGGGGGCGATTATTGCTGACGTACGTTCGTTCGGAGACATTCGGCGGAGTGTGACGGAATTATGAGACATCGATTAGTCGCGTGCGAAATACACACCGCTGTTCGCTAAGACGGTCTATGCGCTACCAGCCAAGCGAGGCGTGCCGGGGCAAGTTCGACATGTCGAGAGACTAATATTGAATTCTCAATTAGCGGCGACACAGTGACAATCGACTCGCACGGTTGCTATCATTTCGTCCGATAAGCGGAGAAACCAACAAACATGACAAATTTCCTAATGAAATATTGGAATGCAAGATGGCTACGATGTAACAAATCTGTGTGTTTCGATATTTTCCATTATTATACAAAATATGTAAGATTTTTAATAATAATATAGATTTTTACAGATATACACAGGCTGAGTCACCTAACGTGAGATTCTAAAACATTTCTGTTGTTTTTTTATATTAGATAAGGATTGGCTGACTACAATATTTATCTTTTCCAATCACACAAATGATTCCTTATATATTTTCTTTTAATATAAAGAACGACAGAAATATTTTAGATTTTAACGTTAAGTGATTTACCTTGTATGTAGCCTCTATTTTATTGTCATTATAAAAAACAAATCTTGTTTCACTGACTGCATCGTCGACTAATCCAGAATCATCAACAACGCATATTAAGGGGAGGTTTTAGTTTAGATAGCCGAAAATAGGAGATTTTTTCAAAGACACGAATAAAAATATCAAAATAGGGTTTTGATAAAAATATCAAAATAGGGTCATTTTCCTAATTGTAAAAAAAGTTTTAGAAAACATATTTGATATCATGAAACGTTTATTGACATCTTTATCCATTTAAAAAAAAAAAAAAATTATGAGAATTTTCAATTTTTTTCGACTGTCTAAATGAAGACCTCCTCTTAAGAGAAAAGAAAAAACCAAGGCAAGTGCTTTTGTTACGAAACGCACGATTACCGTGGTGGGCGCGTGGGAGATTTGCGTGAGGGTGAGACAAACCTGGATGCAATTCTGCCATGCTTTTGGCGACTGGTTAGGGGAGCGATTAATGACATTGCTAGGCACACTGGCAGGCATTGGAGTGGACACGACCGCGTCACTGCCGACAGGATGCTCGTTCTCGGTCTTAGACGTGCTCGGAGACGCGCGGATCGGCGTGATCTCGGCTAGAGACTGAATGAGGCTCACGAGAGGGTCAGGCTGATCGACCACCGCCAACAATCCGCCGTCCGTCTGATCGTTGCTGCTGGCCGAACTGTAACTCCTGACGCTTTGATAAGCGACGCGGCTCCTCGACTCGGGCCGCGCGTTTCGACTCGGCGTCGCGTACTCCGGAGTCGAGACCGCCTGCTTCCTCTCGGAGTGATCGTTGTTGCCATTGCCGAGCCCCGATTGCAGCTGATGCTGGCGGTGTTCGCGCAGCAACGCGTCCGCGCGCGCGAAACTGTCGCTGCGCGACTCCGGCCGCGGCGGCTGTTGCTGCTGTCGGTTCTCGATGTTGTTGCTGGAACTCGATTGCTGGCTGCTCGCCGCTAACCCTAAGGGTGCCGCGGCCGCTAAGGCTGAGCGGGGGGATGTCGGAGGGCTCTGGAATGCAAGCCAAGCGCTATGCTACATGCCGGCGAACTAAGAGCGTTTAATCCTTTCGGTGCTATGCCCCGAGTGTCCTCGATTATACTCCGCTTTAAGTCCGAATCGCTGTTAATTAATTGCGCGGATTAATTAATGGCGCGAGTTAACGCCGCGTGCTCTATACGCAGCTGCCACGTCAGCTGGGAATTGTTACGCTCGGTAGACCAACCAGAATGGCACTTTTTTTGAGATGTTGTTACGTAATCCTGTGCATTGCGCAAGTAACTTCAGTCACGAAAGCGTGTTCTCATGTGTACAACATCACTGAAAGTCATCTCCTTTTTGTTTTACGGCAATAACATCTTGCCGTTGTTAAACACCGAAGTAGATCACATATCAGCTAATAAATTAATATCGTGTTAAGCAAAAATCAATTTCCATTTGCCATTAAAGAGCGTTGGAACTTGAGGTATTGAGTAAGTAATTAGAGACTTGAGACTTGAAATTAATTAGAGAGTTGAGACTTGAAATTATGCAGTAATTAGAGACAGCTAGGTTGGCTAGGTCGGCGCCGATATCTCACCACTGTAATTATTTGACTTTTTTTCCTGCGAATACATCGGAAGTATAGCACGAAAAAGGGTTAAAAAGGACTTTCTGCCACACAGGCGGCCGCCTAGGGGTCTATGTTTTACAGGGTCGTTTTTTGCTATTTGGAGTTTAACTATATGGTATTGCTATAAGATATAGCGTTGTTGGGGGAGGGGGGGAGTTTCCGTAGCGTGTTATCTATGGGGCCTAAATTGTAGCGTTCGTGCTGCCGCCGTCTTATTGGCGTAAAGCGGGATCGGCCGTACCGTCGTTTCTACCTCTATGCGAATAATTGTTAATATTACCCACGTGCGTTGCAATCGGTTCGACAAAAACTGAAAATTTTTCGGTATCCAGGAAACGTCAAAATTTCACGCTAAATAAATAGATCTCGTTCGGCGAATTAGATTCGTTACACGTCGCAATTTTGATATCTAGGTTTCCCAGATTTGTGAAAATTTTGGAGGACGTTTGCATATCATCTATATTTGAATATCATTTATACTTTCCAAATTTCTTTGATTAAATTTCCACTCGAAAAACAGAGTGACAGGTTATTCAAATTCGAGTGACTCTTCGTTGAGCGGATTTTTCACATTCCGAATTGTCGAGTGAATATTTTAACTCGAAATTGAAGAGCGAATCTGATGTATGCTCGGCCGAATAAAGTTGCAGCGCTTCGTGTTGTCACAATTGAGAGTCATTGCTGATATGCATGCCCAATAATCGCAGTCATGACAGAGACTGAAGTGACAGTATAGGGTGTGACAATAAATTTAAAAAGGAGAAGTTATCTTTAAGCAACAGTACATTATTTTGAAATCATTTATATATTTTATAAAATAAGATACCGTGACTTTATTCGAGAATTCGAGAAAATGTATGCAAACCGTTCTGCGACTGAGCATACTTTACTGTAATAAAAACAAATTCGATCTAATCAATCAAATCACTCGTGTGGATTAAGAATTCCCTTTAAGTTGGAATTAAACATTCGCTCTTGTGATCTGGAGTGGCAATATTTTCACCATCGCGTCGAGTGATTTTCAATTGTTTTGAATGATATTTCACTCTGAGAGATTTCCAAAGCGGAGAACATAATCATTATAAAATCTTGAATATAATTTGATATAATAATCACGACTGTGGAATGTATTTGAAACGATGGCGCGTACAATCCCAGCAATCTAACGAGTGAAGTGCACCGGATGCGCAATCGGACTTACCTGACTATCGCTGTACTTGCGGTATTCGTAAGCGCGTTTCATGGAGACAAACGGCCGTTCGTTCATACTCTCCGCGCGCGGTCTACCGAGAACGCCGCTTCCGATGCTGCCGTTGTACTTCCGACTGCTCGATCTCTGCGGAAGTAGAGGACTAGCTGGTGCGGAGGTGTATGGAACAGCTCTCGACGGCGGCTAATCGATAAACGATAAATGTCAACCAAGTTAATTCTGGAATACGCGACTCATCTTTCTCTCTCTCTCTCTCTTTCTCTCTCTTTTTCTCTTTCGTTAGTAACCGTTGTTTGTTAAATTACAAACGTATTTGTTATGGCCGTGAATGATGAGAAAGCCACTGTATGTACTTTGTATAGTTGTATCTCCGATATAATAATAAACACACATACACACCAACACAATCACGGACAAGAAAACATTAAAACAAAAGAAGGAAATTGCTGTAATAATATTCAGTCACAATTCTAATAATGTTAACGAAAATTAGATCAGTCAGATCCAACAACGTTGATTTTGGAGCTAAATATTATATCAATTTCTTTATTTTACATAAATAAATACGTATAAATAATCTCAAATTGAGAATTCGTACGTTATGGATTATCATTCACGTAACATACTATTTTTAGTCAGAATTAAACTATATGAACAAACTATTATTCACGTAATTAATCACGAAAACATAAAGTTTGATTAACAGAGAGTAGAATATGTCAATAGTTTCATTTTTTCAAAATAAAATCTAACACAATTGTGTATCCTCTTCTTACCTGTCCAGAAACGGAACCCGCACCCCACGTGTCGTCATCGTCGTCGAGGACCGCTGAATCGCTGGCGTAGCCGTCGTGTCTCAATCTTCCTCTCTGCAAGCTTCTGAGCTCGCCGATGACACGGTTTCCGGTCTCTTGTCGCCAAAGCTTGCCAGGGCTCCTTTCATCTCTCCTAGCAGCGAGTTTCAATTGCTGTTGTCTCAGCCACGACAACCTAAACGATAACGAAAGAGATGGAATTGCCTTATCCTTGCCCTTTGATGTCTCTCACTGTCTCTACCTCTCTCTTTCTCTGTCTCTCTCTTTCTCTCTCTCTCTCTCTCTGTCTGTCTGTTTCTTACTTACTCTCTCTCTCTCTCTCTTTCCTTGCCGAGAGACGTATCATGCACAAAGGCAAGAAACGAAAATTACTCTATTAAGAACAAATAAAAAGTAGAATGTTCCTCGATTGATTGCTCTCATTGTGAGCTGTTCACGTCGGACGATCGATCCAGGTCCAGCGATGCGCTCAGCGACGGGGTTGCGTTTTTCGATACGGTACTTAACGACCGGCACAATGTTAGAGGGTGAAACTGGACATTCAATAGCGTGACGTGAGTAATGGCGAATAGTCGTGGTGTTTTTCGCTTTCATGCCTCTCAACGGCGACCTATCGCGTTACGAGCAACGAGCAGCGGAAAATACGAGAAGCCGCGCTTTCTCAGGGGAACCCGAGAACCGCGACTCCGGTAACAAAGGCTCGTTAGAACGCACGGCTCCTTCTCGCGAATAGACTCGCGGAATTCCGCTACGCCGGATTCTGGACCTCCTACCACGATAGATGCCGATAATTACAGCCTGATCGATGAGGTCGCCCCGGGCCATCAGCTCGTGGCTCCGGAGAGAGAGAGCGCGTTGCACCCGGCCGCTCTTCGAGATAATAAACGACGGCCTCGGTAGCCAATCAGCGTAAGTCACGGAGGATTTCTTTTTTCGAATAACGAAATTTATGCCCGCTCGAACGCGCACAATCCCCAGGAGGGTTGTAAACTGCGCCTCGGCGCGAGCGAACTTGTCGTCCGATGAAAGAGAGAGAGAGAGAGAGAGAGAGAACGAGCATTGGTTTAAAGGCGAATCTCTTTATACACGCGAATTCCCCTCAGCAACCGCCCGTCTTGCAAAAAATAGATTTCATTATACGACAAATTATCACTGCACAGAAACGTACATACTATACTGAAAGAAAAGAAAAATATCTAAGAAATAGTAAATTTATTTGATGAATACTAATAATATATTTATTTTAATCTCAATATTTTTTTATTTAAATGAAGTGAATAATTACATTCATGAAAAGCTAAGATCTTTTCAAGGTTTTAAAAAAATGTATATTTTCTTATTTGAAAGATATTTTATATTAATACAAGTAAATATATATTTTAGTACTCATTGAATAAATATTTACTATTTTTTAGATATTTTTTCTCTCTGTGTAGAAGTAGAGAACTATTGATATTCTATCCCATTGATAGTTATCAACTTATAATATGATTATTGATAACAATATAGTTATCAGTGTTTAGTTATCAATATTTAGTTATCGATAGTTGTTGACATTTCTGTGATTTCTAAAAGAAATTAATAAAATGATTCATTTATTTGAATTTTTTCATTTTTTTATTGATTTACCACAGCTAATTTCCAGTTGGTAGTAAATTGTTACATAAGATTAATGAAATAGTTTGACTGAACATTAAAAAGTATAATAAAAGATGAAAGTAAAGTGAAGTTTTCAGTCTCGCAAGTTGAGAAATAACAACAATTTCTTAAGCTTTTACATAGTTATTTTGGAAGGGAAATAATTTACATCATGCTGTCTAAATCTGCGCGTTTATACACGGATATACAAGAATTCCTTGGACGACAAATGTAGAGCGCCACTTTGAAGGCATCAAATATGAAACAGTCGAGGAACCGTGAGCTCGCATCAACCTTGACCGATTCGTGGAATCTTCCGCGAGTACCCGACGTTTATTATAGATAGATGTGCCATTGATTGAAATATCAATTTGTGTTTCTTGGGAATCAAAATCGAGCTCAGGTTATACATTACTAAAGCGAATGGCGAATGAAATTCCATGTCTATTGTTCACGACAAATAATAGAATAATATTATTCTATCTTCGTTGGTTTGTGTATACAGTTTTACTTGTTCTGCAAAAGTTTATTACGTCTCACTCGAAATTTAATCAATTTATGTTTTCATGGACACGACAATAAACTTAATTTCTGCTAAACGACAATCGATAATTTATCACAGTCGTAAGTTTTACCGACGTGTTAATATGTCGATAAAAATAATGTGTACGTACACACAAACAAAAAGACATGTAACGTTCTATCTAATGAATATAAAAATAATAGATGTGATGTTAATATCATGATATATAATTTATAAAATTATATATTATATCCCCCCTGGTAGAAAAAAACTGAATTAGTAATGCTGATACTATGCCTTGGGAAGAATTGATTTACATATTGTACAGTAAATTGCTATTTTTACTAATAACTGTTGTTTTTACAATAATTAGATAGGTGTCTACGCATACTGCATATATCTCTGTCAGAGATACAAAAGATATTTAATGTTGAATTGAATATATCAAATAATGATGAGTGAAATAATGAACGAGCGAGACAGTGGCGCCGGAAATTCACTATTCTAAATTTTGGAACATGAGAAACTGCCGCGGTAATTTCCGAGGTCGCATTAATCTACGAAATATATGAGAGCTTTTGGCACAGATAGGACATTGTCGATACATCGCGTCCGCCAGCGATATTATTACGTGAACGACTAGGATTTCAGCGCGCAACAGAAAAGTTTGTTTCTGTGTTGGTACGATCCTCCATCCGGAAAGGACGACGCAAGCACGAGCTTGTGGAGAAAATTATACGAGGCTTTACGAGTAGCTTTTGTGCTCGTACCTCGCCTTCCGATGACTTCCGCTTCCGAGTGCCGTTTCTCCGGTGTTTCCGGTGTTATGAGGGAAGAAAAGTTACCGAGAGAGATAAAAAGGGAGACACTCCACGTGCGCGATAACGTAAGAGAAGAGGATGCGAAAGGACAACGGGAAATAAAACTTCAGGCGCAATAAATAATACAACTGTCACACGAACACGACGCTCGGTGAGATAAATTTCTGAAAATTTAATTTCACGAAATGATCGCGGAGAATCGTGCAATATCGGTTGCTACACGAAGACTTATCTCGTCGCGTTAACACGTGACACCTCATTAGCAGATGGATCATCCTCGACATATTGCATACGAGCAAAATACACGAGAACCAATCAGACAACGACGGAGAGTGAGACGTATTCACGGTTCCGCAGGGCCGATTTAGCGCGTCTCGCCTGTTCTATATTTGTAATTATGTCAGAGAGCGACCAGCGCCCCGAAATAGGTGACTCCTCTTCCTCTCGGCACAGGCTCCGTCTTATTTTTCCGCGACACACGGTACACACAGCCGTTGCAGCAAGGATCATATAAAATGTGTCCATTAAATAACACGTCGTTACAATGTCGCGTAATATTATTTTCTGCGAGAGGCAGTCGTAACGGATAAGCGAGGATTTATCTCGAGGTGTCCTCGTGGCTGGAACGTCACGTTTCTTTCACTCTTCGTGAAAGCGGACCTGCCGAACGTCCGTCGATCTCGTCGACCGTAAACGTCATCTGCTTCCTCTTCGCGGCCCCGACGCGTCTCTTCATAAATATCCGCATGAAATCTTGCGGTTACTCGCGCGGCGCAAAATCGCTTCGTTCGCGTTCGAGGGTAGTCGCGCGTTTATTTTCACGGCGCTTCGCGGTACGCAATACGACGTGGATTTTACGGCGCGGATATCTGGTTCGTCGAACCCGTCGAGCCTACCATCAACCCTTCATAATACCATTTTTTATGCAGCTATACGTTCTCTTGGGATTCTCTGTTAAAAAGAAAGACACGATGTTGTTGGACATCGAGAGTTCTAACAGGCGAATTTTATTTTCGGAGATTAGGCGACAAAACTGTCCAAAATGGCGCGCACTGATTTGTAGAACCGAACGTCGCGAGCAACGCGAGAATGTCAGAGGAACATTTGCATTTCACGTGGAAAAATTACGAAATTATAAACAAACTATATTATAATTAGGTCCGCAGATATAACAATCAGTTAAAGTACAGAACAGCTGGTAACAGCTAGATTCGTACTAATAATTGTTATTTGAAACTCCTCTCAAGTGAGATATTCAGATTTGAGTTCAGAGTTAGATGAAAGTTTTTCACTCGAATCACGATTACAGATATAATGTCACATATATCATACAATTTAACTGAAAAGTTTGGATCTAAATAAAAATCTAGGTATCTCACATGAGACAAGTCTCAAGTGACAACTATTAATACGGATCCTAGATTCCTAGATAAATAGAGAAGCGACATTTAGGGGAACTGTCTGATTGGCTAATTGAATCACGTGGTTCAACGCCATATTGTTCCTCATCATGGTGAACGAGTTAAGATTAATGATATAGTAGAACGTACTCGTAGTTGATGTCACAGAAGAATATTCGCTGCAGCTTGATGTCAGTTAAAGTTATGGGTAAATAGCTATTAATTCAGTGTGTGTGTGTGTGTGACATAAGTACTTTTATTTATGTAAATTTTATTCTACTGTACTTTGACTTTTGTCTGTCACGTATTTTCTTTCAATATGGCCAGAAACACTGAGAAAAAAATACTTGAAAATTTATTTGTAGGGCAAAAATTTATTTCACAGAAACAAATTTTATTTCTCAGAAATATATTTTATATCACGAAAATAAATTTTGTATCATGCAAATAAATTTCTAAGTGTCTTTTCCTCAGTGTAGCCATTGGCCAGGTCTGTCGAATACGGAGAAACAAGATGGCGGCTTTTCGATATATCACACCGATTTTCAATGTCGCTTCTTTATTTATTTGGGACTCAAGTAAGCCTTGTTCATTTGTTTCTAAATAGTACAAATCTCTGTTTGCAGGTTTCGATTTTATTGCGTTACTATCTTATAGTTGAAGCTTTTCCATATTTCCGAGAAAGTCCCTGAAGCGTTTGTCGAAGATATTGATAGAAACATGTTTTATATATATATATATATATATATATATATATATATATATATATCCTCCCGAAAATATAAAAATTTAAATTTTGCATCAAGAGTCGCGGTGACTATTGGCTGTCATGCGAAATCATATTCCGCGCAAGGGGAATTCACACATTCGCAATCAGCTCACTGTATTTTTACGCGTTTTCGTGAACGCCGCGATGAAAGAGTGCATTCCTCGGTATGTTATTTTATAGTCACGCCGGGGGCCAAACAGGGTTAACAGACTCGTTTTACGCGACCGTGCGTGCTTTCTCTTCCATTCACGCGCGGGATTCTCATTCGCGAGATGCACAGGGCGGCACTGGAGCGCGAAAGCCCCGGTCTGCGCAAAAAGTTGATGACTTCGAGGTGAATGGCGTTACACGATGACCACGCGCATTTATGGGACGCATTCGCCTTTACGGCAACGCGTCGCAACAAACGATTCCCTTTCGAAACATTGCCGCGCGCAACCGCTCGGCTTCGGCTTTCCCCGCGTTCTTTTTTATCTTTTTTTTTCTGTTAATTATCTATGTGAAAAAAGTTAATGCGAACGGAGTAATGTCTGTTGTGTTTTGCAACCTCGGTTGTGGCGGAATTAACGCGAATGCTCGCGACTGAACGTGTGTCTCCTCTTTACGCGTTGCGAACGACAATGATTCACGACGACCGCGTTTGCCATTCGCGGCGAAGGTTTCGCGATATGGCCGCGAATGGGTCGACGATTTATTAATTGTCCGCGGACTCTTCTGTTCCCCTTCCTTCTCTCTCTCTCTCTCTCTCTCTCTCTCTCTATCTTTCTCTTTTTTTCGCCCTTTCTCTCGCTTGCTCGTCCACTCAAGCGTGAGCGCGGCTCTTTTGCGGCGCCTGATTCGGACGATGCATTGCGACATCACGCTGTCGACGTCGGTCGTTTGGAAACGTTGCCAAAGGTACGCGAGCCACTCGTTCTGTCGTGATTTTCGTCGTTCGCGAAAACCGCCTAATCTCCACTTTCGCAACGGCGAGATTTAGCCGTCGTACAGAGACCGACCTTTTCGGCCGTTGACAGCGCGGAGTGAATAAGTATCGTGTGTCATGAGATACAGGGAGCATAATTTCTCTCAGAATACTTCGGATGAGATATGAGAGAGGGTGGTTAACGATCACGAAGAGAGAGAACAAAGCTGCGTCAACGCGAGGTAATCTTGGACGTAATTAGCGAGATGAAAATGTAGGAGAGAGATCGGAGTAGGTTCGCCGAGCGTTCCGTTTGGGTATTTATTGTGAGAGATAAAGTGGTAAGGGAAATGCAAAATATTCATATTTTAAAACGTAAAAATTTTTCCGTGAAATTCTAGCGTTTTCATTATTTTTAGAATGCTCGCTATTTTTAGTAAATATGACAAAGGTATGATTCTCGTATATTATTGCAATAAATTTGGTCAGATCACTCACCCATCCACGTGGTCCGTGCCGCTCTTTATGGGTCCGTTCGCGAACTCTGGCGGTGGGTCCGGTGTATTGGAGCTGAGGGGGCTGATGGGTCTCCTGGAATTTTCGCCGAGGATGTCCTCAAAGTCGACGACAGGCGCCGCGTTGCGCACAGACGCCTTCCTCACCAACGAAGGCGACGATAATTTCTGATGCTTTATCATGTCAGTGGTGGCGCCGTACGAGAACGGCTGGCTGGTCTGCCTGGCGTGATACGGTATGTCCTCGTCGATGAAGTCGATGTTGCCCGGCGGCGAGAAGGAATCCGCGTGCTTCCTGTAGGAATCGTTGGAAGACTCGGACACCTTCCGGTCAGGAGATACACGGTACTCGAAATCGTCCCTTGATCGATGTTCAATACTCTTGGGCGACTCCCTATACTCGTTTTTCAGGGTGCTATAACTGCTACTCGAATTGTAGGGCGGACTGGATTCTTTGCCACCCCCGTAGCTTCTGTACGAGTCCTTCAGGGTGGAATAAGTGGATGTCGGATGGCTGCTGCCGTGACTGCTGTAGCTGCGCGTCTCCTGAATGTATATCTTCTCGCTTCGATCACGGTTGTAGTCCTCTGTCGGAGGATCTGGCATAGACTGTAAAGAGAGTTCACTATACCGTGCGAAATTTCAGATGACCAGTTTTATTATGATTAATAAAATTTCCAAAAATGTTTCTTTAATTTTCCGTGCGTGGTATCGACAATTAACTATATGATCCTGCAGGAATCCTGTAAGAAAGTCTTTGAGCTTACCTCAACGGTGAGCATCATATCATGAAGAAGCTTGTCGAGGTCCCCGTGAGTCTGATTTTCCGGCTCGGGTTCTGGCGGACTGGGTCTTTGTGGTGGTGCACTACTTATGCCACTGTCCATGGAAACCGTCAATGGTGAGCCACGGGCACCTCCTGCAGCACCCTGATGAACCACGGCGTACAAGGATCCATCTATGGGACCACAGGTATAACCTAAGCCACGAGGTGAGGTTTGAACCGAGGAGCTCGAAGGGGGTGGCGGTGATAACGGAGTCTCACGGCCTTCTAGAAGACATACATATTTTCTAGGTATACTAAAATAACGAAAGTAAAATATACATTAAAACTAAAAAACAAAATAAAATAATAAATAAATATAGTAAAATAATATGATAGTAAAATAACAAAAGTACAAAAAACTTATCAAGGTATACTTTAACATTCATTAAATTTCAGTGGCCGTATCTGACTCTATAACTATAATGTTATTAAACCTTATTCATTGTAAATGTGTACTCTGTCTATTCTATATATGTATTACTTTCATATAGGACATAACTTAATTAAATTGTCTGAATTAATAACAAGTAGGTAATATTAATTGTAAATAAGCTCAACATAAACTGAAAGGAAGTATACGAAATATCGTGGATTGGAATAAAAGCAATCGCGCAAAGATCGCGTAAAGAACGAGTTAAGTCACGAGTAAATTCTCTTGGATTCTTCTTGTGTAGAAATATCTACGGGCACCCGCGTGAACTATAATTCCACGAGCCCCGGGAAATCGAGGAGCTTGTTAGAGGAACAACCGCCAGCCATAAATTGTTGACTGACGCCGCTCTCGGGTACGAATCGCAATGAAGAAGTTAAGAATTGTCTACACCGTATATTCCCCTCTCTACCAGCGCATCAGACCATTTAAAGCTAATTGCTCGAGTTTCGTAGACGTTATGATATGAATTGGGATGTTTACAACTTGGTCATTCACATCGCGTGAAGATGTAACAATAATGATGCAATAATAATTTTGCGGCTAACTTTCATTAACTCGCCTCTTGGAAAACTTTGCGATCCAACTTAGAGACGCTTAATACTTGGACGAGAGAAGCTTGGGAACAGAAATAAAATCGATATTTCGCAGGGACCAAGCGACTATTGAAATTGGTGGAAACGCTTATGTAACATGGTCTTATAACACGGTCTTCGCAACGTTGCAATCCAAGCGACAATGGGTTTGGTACAACGACTTTGTTGGGAACATAATTCTCGCAACTCCATTGCACCCTGTCACAGTTGCCAAGTTCGCAGCAGGGATTTCTGGAAACCCACTAGTCATGATTACTTGGCTCTCGCCGATGTCTTGTTCGCTTTCTCGGGGCGCAACCTCGACTGAGTTTTTTTTCTCGATGACCTCGTGACACGGGGCTAACCTACCGCAAGAATTACGTCATCGAAAGCGCGCGGATTACTCAAGCATGACATAACACGGATTAGCAGTAAATTGGCGCTTCGAGAAGACGAATACATGGGGTGGATGACATTTTGTGTGGTGGCTCTATGAAATCTAACAATTATACGATATAAATCTGATATTAGTTGGGGCAAGTTGGCTAATAATTTGAGGTAAGAAGGTTACATGTAATATATGTATCCTGATTGAGTTCCGAGATCTCTGAGAGATCTCCACAATCCCATCGGTCCTTAAATATAGTAGTCAACTTTACCTCATTCGTCCATGTTCAATTTCGGTCATTTTATGAATGAAAATTGCTTTCATTACCCGAAATAATGTACCAAAAATACAATTTCATCAAGCAAGAAACTTTATTCTAACTAATAACACGTTATTTAAGTTACCAAATTTCGTACTTGAAAATGTACTTGGCGCTTCTAAATCGGTTTTTTCTACTTTTAGCTATAATATTATTTCGATTTTAATAAAACTTAGGGAAAAGTATCTTTCTTTCTCTCTCTCTCTCTCTCTCTCTCTCTCTCTCTCTAAAAGGAACATTTTGGAATTTTTGAAAGATTAAATTTCGATTAAGTTTCCATTGTTCCTCTCACGATAGATACATAAATAAAGTACATGACCGACATTGATCCCTTTTAAGCCAACTAGACGCGATCTCTCCTATTAGTGACAGAAAAATCTCATCAGGTATCCGTTAATGGCGGTAAAACTCTCGTATAGAATCAACGTGTAGTAAAAAGCGACATGACAGGGAAGCGAACGAGAGACGGAGAAAAGTTTATTTAACTCTCACCGGTGAAGTTAGGTAACCACGTTAAAGATAAAAAAAAACGTGAACTCAGTAGTAAATACAAATAACAAAATCGAAAACTGGACCGGAACTGGGGAAGGGGGGAGGGGTGAACTTTCCGCGGAGCGATAAAAGTTTGCCCGAATCTACTTGCTGCGAGGTGGAAGCGCGAAATGGGGAAATGAAAGTTTAGATACACGGCGTTATGAAGTTTTCCAGCCGTTAAGAATCCAATTACTTTCGGGATACTGATGATTCATACGCTTATTACATGCTATTAATAGAGGAAAAACGACCAGATACATCCCACACAGAGCGATGATCGCGATTGTATCTTGAAAGTGCATATAATACTACTGTGGCGAAGCAGGAACCAGTCTCTCTGAAGCAGGCGCTTGAAGATGAACGTGTTTGTTAATCCTACGAAAGTTCATAGAATTAATAACACGACGAAAGCGTCGCTTCATTGCGCCAACAAGCAACGCTCACAAGTAATTCTCACGAGAGGGAGAGGAACCCAGCTCATACTAAAAAATATCATCCTGTTCTTAGAATCCTAGAGGATTTTATTCTTATATGTGGCTTCAAGAGAATTTTTCTAAAACCACAAAATATTCCAAGCACAATATTCTTAACCCTAGAACCATAAACTAATTAAATAAATTTTACTCAATGCATTTTTATTTGCTCATAGTTTCTGGAAAAATGATCAAAATTTAATTTTTTTTTTAATTAATGTAGAAAACATCGAGGAATATGAATCTATTAATGTTTTTACGATTCAATAAAGTTATAGTAAAAAAATAAAACACATGTTTTTAAGAACGATCACGTTTGAAAAGTTGGTTTAAATTTCATATGTTTAGGGTTTTTAATATTTCGAGTTCTCTAGGGTCAAAGATAGAGGATCTTTTGTTTACAAGTCTTGCCGCGTCTTATATTGCACGTAAGAAGGCGTTCTGCTTTAAGTAAATATATTTTTTCCTTTTGAGATTCAAAAAGAAACAACATCTATTCCGATTAATAATCCACTTTGTTAGAAGAGAAATATTTTTTGGGTAAAAGCTTTCCCCTAGAATATGGAGTTAAAACAGGCAAATAGCATCTTGCAATTGGAGTTCTGTTTTTAGATGTATTCGGTGCTTGAATTAACTAAGATCCGAACTGATGTTACCTACGGCGCAGCTCGGTGCGCTCCTTCGCGTCCGGTTTGTGGACTCGAGGTCTTCGCTACTTTATATGCACCGACAACGCCACGTCGGATTGAAAAAAGTGCAACGCGAGAGGAAGTATCCGCGAAAGAGGCGCTGTGGAAACGCGTGGCGACGGTCATACGCCTCAGGCGGGGGATGGCTCTCTCGGTGTGAGGAACCCTTAACGGGTCTCCCTGTCGAGATGCGTATCCGGTAGCACCGCGTGTGTGCCCGTAGAATTTCACGATGCTTTATTTTTCGTCCTGCGCGTCCACGTTCCCTTTTATTCCTCTCTCTTTCTCTTTCTCTCCCCCTCATGTTCTCTCGAATCGCTCGCTTTGATCCGGCATTCCGGTGCGCCACGAGATGCAAGTGTGGCCGATGCACTTGGCGCCTTAGGCCCCTGTCACACTCTACGTCTCTTTCCAGTGACGGCGATGGCCGTCGAGTGCTCTGCGATAACGCAATCGCGCCGGTTACGAGGCCGGGCTATCGACTTAATTGGAATTCGCGGGATGTAATTATTTGTTTGTCGTGTTGCGCGACTGGATCCACTCCCTGACATTTGTCCCATTCTGAAATGTCTGTTTGTTCCCTTCGTCAATTGAAATTGCCGCACTGACACTTGTGAAGCATGTCAGGTTAATTGTATAGTATTATTTATATTTTCTTATGTAACATATTTCTTATATTTTCTATGTCATAAAAAGATTTCGCAGAACCGATATCGCATTTTTTAACTTGAGGGACAGAACAGATAAATATCAACATCACGGGCCATATTTGACTTGATATAAATACTTAGGAGAAGCAAAGAATTTACCAATCTCTCTGGACAGTTAGGGATGAAATCAACTAAATATGAGATAAAACTGCACCAATATCTGAAAATCGTAACTGCTTCCAATTGATTCTTACGTCGCAGCACTTCGCTGCTTCTGCTATAAAACCTCATATTCCAGCTTAAACGTTGCTATCCACGTTACCTAAAGAGGACAAAAATCTTGTCGCGTATTCACGATAACATGGAAGAGTATAGACGATCATAACGAATCGCCGAGCTCTATTACCGTTCTTACGAACAAGCTCCCTGCGATAATGGCGTGATCGGGATCGACGATCGGGCTAATTTAAGATCATCACGGGGAAGATTCCGCGAAGGACATCGGGTTATAATCTCTAGGGACGTACGGGGAGCCTCATCTGAATTCAATCCACGTCGTTGCTATCTCGTCGACACATCGCGCCCGGTATAAATCATTTTTATTCGAGCGACTCTCTCGCTTATTATACCCAAACCGGCCCGCGCGTTCTGTCAATGACGACTAATCTACCACCTCGGGCAGATGGGACGCATTTAACGCTCGCTCGCGAACATACACGCGCGAACAGGGCCGCGCTTGGAAGTACTCAGATCCAAAGTGGATTTTCGCGTGTATACATATTTAAGAGAAACGAGAATCCTGTCGTCGCTCGCCGATCGGCGGATCATTGCTGTCGCAATCTCTCCCAGAACAGGATGATGGGACTCGAGTGTAGCCTCGAATGCTGTCAACACGATCGCCGGCGACGCCACGCAGGAGGATTTCATGATGATGATATGGATGACGAAGGTGCGCGATGAAAAGTATGACATATGTCAGTGTAAGCGATAGCTCGTTACATCTTCATTTCAATAACGATGAGAAGGAAGTTGGTGACATCGTGTCGAGTTTGCAAATGAAGATTCTTCACACGCGGAGCACTCGCGAAGGTAACTTTTATTAATAATGTACGAGAATTTTACGATGGTAATGTGCGGATAACGAGTACATGTGCGATGGGAGTATAA